TTAAATAAAAGTAGACTTATTGTGTTTAAAACACTCCAATATGACTGTGGACACACTATACCTATGCACAGTTCTGTCCAAGCAGCTTTCAAAAGAAGATTTTCCTCATACAGTAGGTGCGCTTTTAAAGGGAGAAGACAAAAATCCCTTACCTTTTGTTAATGATGTGAACGGGTGTTCATATTCTTCTCACAGATGCTAAAATAACTAAAAATAATGTTTAGTTGTTTACTTTTTTTGTCGTTCAAAACATCACAGTTGATGTAATGCAGAATGAAATTACATCGACACACAGCAAGAACATAAAACCATATCAGTAAACACTTTATAAACCTAATATGATAAATAAGCTTTTGCAATTTCATAATTATATAAAAATATACATATACGGTACTCAACATACCGTAAATGAGTACACCCTTCACAAATATCTTATGTAAATTACATTTTTTATTGGTAGCTTTCAGCCGATTTGAATATTATCACCCAATTGAATTGGTGTTATCAGCTGACAGATCTGTTATCGGCCAGAAGTTAACGAAAATTATTTATATTATTTATTACATTTCCCATTAGTTGTATTTTATTAAAGTCTACCCCTACACCAACCCTAAACCCAACTGTCACAGTAATGTAAAAACAGATCTGGATCTGGAGCCTTCTCTATTATTATAGCTGATTAACCATGTGGATGGATGATAACAGCCTTCTAGTAAATTCTAGGAAATTCCTCTTAATCGGTGGCGCACTGTAATGAATGATTTTGTTCAAAATAAATTGGTGTTAATTAGAGCTGCACAATCAATTGAAAAAAGATTTCAATCTCGATTCGACCCCTAGACGATCTTAATCCAGCATTTCTACGTTTTCTAAGTATGAACAGCACTTAGCAGGGAAAATGAAGCTGAAAGCGGGCACATCATTTAAATAATCATATCGCATTTTAGAGTTATGACTGCGACAAGCATTTGATATGTTTTTTCTTTCATAGCGAACACACAGCTGTGCATGAAAATAATGTTTACAGTGTTAGTATAACTACTCTAGCTTATATAATGTTGATTTTACCAGTGAATCAAATGCTCAAATAATGTTCTCAATGACAGCTTGCAAGCATAGGCTCATATCTCAAACATAATTTCACATCAGAATTATTATAAGTAGAATATAATTATTTATAGAAACCAGTAAACCTACACATAATATTAATATTGATGTTTTACCATATGTTTAAGAAAAACAATAATCTCATATTAGCTTTATTTTACATCTACACAATCGTGAGAGAATCGTGATCTTTATGATAAGCAAAAAATTGTGTAACTGTAACACAGTAACTGGTGTGCCTGTTTAAGATTTTGACGGTATGATAACCTTGGATAAACATATCATGGTTTCACGTTATCATGGCATTGTGATTGTTGCTCAAAAACATATTCTTTTTAAATTTCTGGGTAAAAAACAACATTTTTTTCACCTTTGAATACAACATATTTAATTTTTTGAGATAATTTAAATATTTTGGAGCAGTAAACATGTCAGACTAAATTATTCAAATGAATCATTGACTTCTGCTGTCTTCGTTAGTTTCAAAAACACAGATTTCTTTACATCTTAAAATGGCATCTTTGGATATCTTTTCTACTGGTGATACTGTTGTCCTAAAAAAAAATAAATAAATAAATAAATAAATAAAATAATCTTACACATATCTTGGGAATGGTATTACAGAAAAACTCGGCTTAAAAAGGTTTAAAAACCTTGACTTTCCAAACTTTCTATTAGCTGTATAAATCTGTTTCCCCTTGTGTTGACCCTTGCTTGCCTGACCATCCTGCTAATCAACCCTGCACCTCTGTTGTCAGCATCCCACTTCACATTACAATAACATATATCCAAAAAAATGCTATGTACAGTATATTAGCTATGCTAAATCATTTGTTTAATTCATTTTCTTTCAGCTTAGTCTCTATCTCAGAGGTTGCCACAGCAGGATAACCCAGCAACTATTTTAGCATGTTTTATGCCCTGGATGCCCATCCAGCATACAAACTCATTCACACACACTCACACACTACGATCAATTTAGCTTATTTAATATACCAATACCGCATGTTTTTGGACAGTGGGGGGAAACCAGAGCATTGGAGGAAACTTAGCAAACATAGGGAGAACATGCAAACTCCATACAGTATTGGCAACTGGTCAGACCAGGACTCGAATCAGTGACCTTCTTGCTTTGAGGCGACAGTGCCAACAACAGAGCCACCGTGTCGTTCAAATCATTTATTTCTGTAATGATTCATTCATTCTTTCATTTTCTTTTCGGCTTAGTCCCTTTATTATTCCGGGGTCGCCACAGCGGAATGAACTGCCAACTTATCCAGCACATTTTTACGCAGCGGATGCCCCATCTAGCCACAACCCATCTTTGGGAAACATCCACAAACACTCATTCACACTCATACACTACAGACAATTTAGCTTTCTAAGAACTCATTAAGCTGCATTCATCCTCCTGACCAGAAGGAGGTGCTCCTGTCTCCTTGCACAACAGGATCCAATTTTCATGCTTCCTCCTGAACAGTGGATGGCACCACTTTCTCACCATCTGCTTCGTACCACCACTCAAGCTTGATTTGCAACACCTGTATTTTGCCCTATATAAGTGTGTGTTACAAGCTACTGTATTCAGTCTTGAGCCATTACTACCCGGTGTTCTCCAGATTGTCTAGTGAAGCTAAGTGACATTTTACTGTTGTGTTTTTGACCCTTGTGTCTAATTTGTTTTGCCTGTTTACTAGAAGCTCGGCTTCAGTTATTTCTGTTGTACTTTGCATTCTATTTTTCTAGTAAAGATCATCTGTTTATTTTTTTCTGAAACCAAAGCCTCAAGTTCCCTTATTATTCTTCTGCTCTTGGGTTCATCTAGTGAGGAGTTAGCTCTACTGGGAAAAGCCCCAGCTTTGTGTCCAAGAGACCTGGGTTCAATCCTCACCTAAACCAACACCTTACAAGCTCACCCAATTCACCTGTACTGCATGTCTTTGGACTGTGGGGGAAACCGGAGCACCCGGAGGAAACCCACGCAAACTCCACACAGAAACGCCAACTGACCCATCCAAGGCTCAAACCAGCTACCTTCTTGCTGTGAGGCGACAGCACTACCTACTGCGCCACTGCGTCAACTTGTGTAATGATATTAAAGTAAATAGATAAAATATGTTTTGCTGTTCTAATTAATTCTAATTCAGATTTAAAAACTGTGTAAAGCAGCAAACATTTTGTCCTTAGAACACTATTAATGAAAACCATGAAAAGCAGATAATCTGACTCTGCCTGTTGTCATTCTCCTCTCTCTTGACTCCCAACATTAGTATTAATTTTCAGCTCTGCGTTCACCTTTGGTCAACTCCAGCCAATAGCTAAACAGCAAGTATTAAGGAGGTGAGGATTAGGATAGTAAGGCCCCATCTGATTGGTCAAATTTAGATAAACAACCAATGCATAAAATTTATCAAACATGCCTGCGATACTTATATTTCATATACTATTATCACAATAACAGTAATTTTGCAACGTATTGTGCAGCCCTAATTTTTTTATTAATAATTGTTGATTAAATCATATAAATTTAATAAGTTTAAGATTCTCAATTCAATTTTTAAGGGGTATCTGCTTGTTCCTGTTACATCCTTGTCTACTTTTTTCAATGTTAGATTTAAACATAGATGAGAATAAAGAGTTATTGTTTATATATTAGTAATGTTCAAAGATTAATTATGATTTAATCACATCTAAACCAAACATTTTTTTTACATAATATAAGTGATTGACGCATAGAAACAAAAGTTTGCAAAACATTTTTGTTACACACAACCCCAACCACCTCCATTTTGCAATTAATCTTTGCCCAGCACTATTATGTATATAATTAATGATATAAGTTTAATATATAAATACTCGTGTTTCTTTTGTGTGCACCAACAAAAAAAAACCTTAGTAGCTGAGTTGTGTTTACTTCTACAAGCTTTCCCACAGACTTACCAACATTGTTGTGTAGAATGATGCTAACACTTGGTGTTATGATGAACATTTGTTCAGTATGAATCCCTGCTGACAATCAGTGGGAGACACACGACTACTTTGTTGTTCTCAGATATAATTTGATGCTTGTGGGTGTTGGATCTTCTCTGCTCTTCGACCTGCTGCCCCAGTTCTGCCCTCAGCTCAGTGCCCACACAACAACACTGCTGCTTTTGTTGCCGTGCTGACGTTCCTGAGATTTCCATCACAACAATAACAAGACACAATGCACAAGGCTTACATTAGCTTCCTGATTACTGTTAGCTGTTTATGTAATTATTCCGGGTGACAAATAGCCTGCCATGTTCTTGTCGTTTAAGCAGAAGCTAAACAAAGTTGTACCTAATATGCAGAGATCAATCAAACTGCAGCTCATCCCAGGACATCCCAAATTAGACTTTCTCACAAAGACAAAAGTTTTTTGTTTTTATTTAATATACTCTGCCATCCTTGTGAATAGACCATTTCAATGTGGCTATGTCACTGGCCTATGAAAATTTCCTGTTTGTTATTAAACTATTTCTTAACTGTAACAAACGGCAATTCAATCATCATAACTTCAAACAGCTCTCATAACATTATTTATTAATATGTGGCTCTTTTTGGATTCTCGGAAGTTATAAAAATTAAACATGTAAAACAGGAAATACATTGGGACCATTTTTATTGTTTATATACCTCAAAAGTTTCTATAGTTTTTGGAGGTAGTCATTCATTCATTTATTCATTCATTCATTCATTCGTTTATTTGCAATGGTGGATTCCTGATGTGCCTTACTAAAGTCATATATAATGTACTTAAATGGCCCTGTATGTCAAGAGTCAAGTTACCATGACAACTAGAAAAGTATTAGTCATTTATTTAAGAATAGAAAATGGAATAGGTCATGCATTAAGTTTGTTTTCTTTCTTAGTTGTAGGGCATTGTCCTCGGAGCCTGGATTGTGCCCGAGAGAGACGGCACTTCTGCCAGCCCGGCTCTTTACATTGCGGCCCATGTCTAGACCCATTCATGGAGAACAAACGAGGGAAGTGTGTGCTCAGGAGACGAAATCATCCTGGTGAGTAGTGTTTACTTCACACTGAGACTTGCCCAAGTCCATTTTAAGGAAAGACGGTTAACTTAAGCCATGTTTTGCATCCCCACAGACAGTGAATATAGCTTGCAGGTTTAACTTTTAGCTTTAAAAAAATAGTTCACTCAAAATCAGATCTTGCCGGTTCCTCTTCTGGGACAGGTTAGATATTTTTGTTTTGGGTTCTGCTATTTATTTTAATTGATCTGGCATTGACTTTTGCTTGGTGAATACTTGCATGTGTGTGTGAGAGAGAAAAAAATGTGAATGAGTCTGAGAGAAAAACAGCGAGCAAAGCTGTGTGGATTGTGTGTGCAATCACACAGATAAAGTTAGTCTCTTTCAACCAATCAATTATCTTTCTTATGTTTACAATAGTCTTATTAGGGTCATTATTATTGTTTTGTGCACAGCGAGCAGCGAAAATAAATAATGGCATGGTGACTTACCGGAATAATATTCGTATTTTCAAAATACCAGAGGCAGTCAAGCATATATGTTTTTAAAAACCATGAGTAAATCTGATATTGAGCCTGATCAAAAGAGATCTTGAGACAGTGAAATTGCACAGATGGATCAGGATAGCGGGAGACAGAAGCAAAGTGATCTCTAGTCAGCCAGAAAGAAGAGCTACAGTAACTATGGGCTCTTCTTAAAGATTACACTAAGTCACTCATTTTTAGCTTGCCATAAAATAGTGAACTGAATGTCAGTGGTGTTAGTAAACTGTTTATTGTTATGTCATATGATTTATGTTTGTAACTACATGTGTGTTTTTTTGTTTTTTTTACCCATTGTTTTTGACCCATACGTTTATTCATTCATTTTCTTGTCGACTTAGTCCCTTTATTAATCTGGGGTCGCCACAGCGGAATGAATCGCAACCTTATCAGCACATTTTTATGCAGGGGATGCCCTTCCAGCCGCAACCCATCTCTGGGAAACATCCAAACACACTCATACACTACAGACAATTTAGCCTACCCAATTCACCTGTACTGCATGTCTTTGGACTGTGGGGGAAACCGGAGCACCCGGAGAAAACCAACGCGAATGCAGGGAGAACATGCACTCCACACAGAAACGGCAACTAAGCCGAAGATCGAACCAGCTACTCAGCGACCTTCTTGCTGTGAGGCGACAGCACTACCTACTGCGCCACTGCATTGCCTTGTTTATTTATTTATTTATTCATTTATTTATTTATTTATTTATTTATTTTGCTCTCATAGTTCACAGACAAGTCTTGTACAGTAAATATGCTCACATATTACAAGAGAGATTTTTGAATAAAGCGTGTATTACTTGATTTTAAAATAATTAAAGGAAACGCATACTATCTACTATCTATGATTATTTACTTCAACCATGATCAACTGAATTTAAAACACACATTGCCCAAAACAAACTTTTTCTTATAAGAAGTGAAAAGAAATAACTTGCCCCTTTAGAAACAAAATAAATTATTATTATTGTTTTTCATATTAAAAGTGGATAATATTTTAAACTGTGCATTTCTTGCATCTTCTGTAAACATATTTTCTAGTGTAAATAATAATTATACTCAATAATTTTATTAATATTGTATAAAACATTTTCTCAAAGCTTTTCTGGTGCAGCTTCCAATCATCGTCAATGTAGTACAAACGTGCAACGTGTAGTTACATTTTTTGAGAGGTGTGTGGGTATGCAACCGTGCGAAGGCTGCGCCGGACCATACCCATGAGTTTGACGCAGAAGTATAAATCAGCCTTCTACAGAGCAGGGTCATGTGACTCCACACGCGGTATAGGGAAAAATTTTGAAAAAATGTATTTGGAAAAATGAGATCGATAATAGGTTCTGACAAACGATTTTGATTACTTTTCGATTAATTGCCCAGCCCTAACCCTAACTCTATTGTTAGTATTAGTGCACTGTTTATACATCACAATCTATATTCTTATAACTCTTAAGCAAACAGACATCAATCAAGCCACAGATTGAAAAACATTTTGCTAAAAGATCCGCAATACACAATCTTTAGTACAAGCTCAGGGCAAAGTTGTGTGTCAACAATGACTTAGGACAAATGTAATGTAACTTAATGAAACTAGAGGCGCTCTATAGCACAGCAGGACTTGGAATTGCTCAAAGAAAACTATGACTACAGCAACAATTTACATACAACAAAGTAATCCATTAGAAATCAAGCCAGAAAGCCTTCATACAGTCATACTGATTGAAGCATAGAACATTTAAAAGTGTACATGTCAGGCTTTATGCAAATATTTCAAAAATAAATTTCTCATTAATGTGAGGCAATATTTTTAAAACGTCACACATTTGTCAGTAATGTGGACAAGAAAGAAAAGCACTCGAAATAGAGAAAGCACTCCTTGTCTGTTTCATTACTTTAACAAAAACATACTGTTTTGTAGTACTTCTGAATATATAAAAATAAAACTAAACCCTTTACAGTTTTCAAATCTGAGTTTGCCTTATCAATCCGACCAAGTATTAACACAGAGTATTTTATGGTCCTATCACGTAAAAGTACCCCCCTCCCCAGTAAATGTAACCCTAGGTGGTTAAAGATAGAGCAGTTTTCATCCAGTGCTTCAGTAAATTGTTGATTTAGTTTTTTTATTTACTAATGTACCATAGTAATATAAACCATTATGCAGTCTTTTTTTTTTCATACATTACTGCACAAGATACGTTACTTTCTGTGTTGCCAAATGTCTTTGTATTAGCATTGAATACAACTTCCTGTTGATGTTGATCTGATGTATAATTTAAGAATGTCCTTCAAGTGTAAGCATTGTTAGGGTTCCCCCTCATTAGCCTTCAGTATATACGCATTGAACTGCAGTGAAGGACCTCTCGCTCTTTACAGCCCTCTCGTCTTCCACCCACACACTGCTGCAGATGCAACAGGAGGGAGGAGGGCTAATGAAATAATTCAGCCACTCTCTTTCTACACTGCAGTGCTAGCGATTGACTTACACTGGCGAAAACCCACTTAACTTGAGCCATATACCTGCAAGCAGTCCTTTAGATGTGAATATCCTCAAGCGTTTCATTTTAGATTACCGCTTGCAGTTTGTAGCTGAAAAAAACCTGTTCTTTTTGACTAGAGCCTTGAGATTTATTGATTGGTCATTTTTCAGCTCTGCCTTAGGAAGCCAGTGCTGTTGTCGACATTTGATCAATAGCATTCAACAGGCTGGAGAATGAACAGTGCCCTTTTCTTCTCACAATTTCTTTTTCTTACTTCATTTTTTTTTATTTAGAAGATTTTCAAGGTCTCACAAATTTTTCACATGTTTTTTGTGTTATGACTGACACAGCTGCTCATTTTGTGTAAATGTAAATATACTGTTTTTTATATTAGACTGAGGTAAAGATGAACATATGTGTGTTTATAGTGGCTTATTTAGTTTAAAACTAAATTAAACTTCGTTATATTCTTGCTCTCAGGATGTTGTCAAAGCGTTTTGGCATCATTTTTAAATTTAGTTTTCTGTATATTGATATGGATAGAACTGCAGTAAAGGTCCTCTCACTCTTTACAGCCCATATATATATATATATGTATATAGACTCCCCGGCCACTTTATTAGTTACACCTTACTAGTACTGGGCTGGACCCACTTTTGCCTTCAGAACTGCCTAAATCCTGTGGCATTGATTTAACAAGATACTGAAAATATTCCTCAGAGATGCTGCAGATTTGTTGGCTGCACATCCATGATGCAAATCTCCTGTTCCAACACATCCCAAAAGTGCTCTATTGGATTGAGATCTGGTGACTGTGGAGGCCATTTAAGTACAGTAAACTCATTGTCATGTTCAAGAAACCAGTCTGAGATGATTTGCTCTTTATGACATTGCGCGTTATTCAGCTGGAAGCCATCAGAAGATGGGTACACTGTGGTCATAAAGGGATGGTCAGCAACAATACTCAGGTAGACGGCGGCATTGACACAATACTCAATTGGTACTAATAGGCCCAAAGTGTGCCAAGAAAATATCCCCCTCAGCATTACACCACCACCAGCCTGAACCGTTGAGACAAGGCAGGATGGATCCATGCTTTCATGTTGTTGACACCAAATTTTGACCCTATCATCTGAATTTTGCAGCAGAAATCGAGACTCAATAGACCAGGCCATGTTTTTCCATTCTTCTATTGTTCAATTTTGGTGCCTGTGTGAATTGTAGCCTCAGTTTCCTGTTCTTAGCTGACTGGAGCAGCACCCGGTGTGGTCTTCTGCTGCTGTAGCCCATCCACCTCAAGGTTGGACTTGGTTGGTTTAAACTGCAGCAGATGGTTTTGACCATGTATAGATGCCTAAATGCATTGAGTTCCTGCCATGTGATTGGCTGATTAGATATTTGCGTTAACGAGCAGTTGGACAGGTGTACCTAATAAAGTAAAAACTTTCATACATACAATATGGTATGTTTAATGTAATGTACAAATGGCAGGTACAACAGCTTTGGAGATGTGTCTGTATATTATTGTTTAGATTGGTTCATTCATAACAGCAGAATGAACTGCCTATATATTTTTCAAGAATTAAACAAAAATCTGTAGTATACCTGAAATGTTTCCCCCATAAGTTAGCTCATGCTCTGTTTATTATTTGCCCTGTTCAAAAGACAATCATACCCATCTTAATCATACATTTATTCCTTGACCTACAAAAGGCAGCTACTAAATGTCATTCAGTGAAACAATAGATAATATACAAACAAATCTTGTGAGGCACATTTATAAACAAAAATCATTTGATGACATTTTAAAAGACTCTATTTGAGGCTCTAAAAATAATTGCAAAGAAATAGATTTTGAAACGGATATAAATAAAATGTAGCATGCTCGCTTATTTTTAATATATTTGAATCATTCTGTGTAATGTCAAATCATTTGAAATTATTCAAATCTGAATATTAATAGTGTGTATAACAGCTTGATCTAGGATGGGTGCTTCCAAGACCGTTTTTAAAAAAGCACATTTGTGTTTCAGTTGAATTACAGACACTTGACTTTACTCAAAAGCTTTTACCACAGTTGATCTCAAGAGTGCAGGGATGTTTAGAGAATGACGAATGCCTATGCAAGAGAGGTTGAGCAGGAAGCCCTTATATGGAGATGACTAGGGCAAGCATTATGCAAATCACAAACTGTGGGTCAGTGCTGCGTCAGGAGCCTGGACACAACAACATTACAGAGGCATAGCACACATTTGGCAGAACCTTTTCACATTACGATGAACACATGTGTGCAATTATTAGCGAATAAGACCCATTAGGAATCAATTATTGATGACTCATTAGTCCTATGTGAAAACGTCCAAAACATTATACACACAAATACATTTAGTAAATGAGCCACAGTGTATTTAAGATGTCTAAATTGCTTTTAAATTGCTCTTTAATGACGTATTTCTTCAGTTATGTTTCATTGGTTCATTTTATGATTCGCTGTAAACATAAAATGTAACATTCAACGGATTTCTGCTAAAAGAAAGTGATTGATTATGAGTGAAACATCCACACAGAAAAATATTTTAGCTTTTTAAATGTTTGCTTAATTATATGCAAATTTATACATGTCATTATGCAAGTATACAAAATAAAACATGCAAATTAAAACACAGTTTACCCAGTCCAGATTTGAACAAAATTTCAAGGTCACTAAACAAATATGTGTGCCTAAAAAATTGTATCCTCTTTTTGTGTTATTTGGAGTGGAAAAAGATCTGACACTAAATAAATTTAGCGCGCACAGATAAAAATAGAACTTTCATAGTTAAATAGCTGAAGCATCTTTGTCTGTTTGGCACACACGTACACATTCTCTCTCTCTCTCTCTCTCTCTCTTTGTTCTTGCTCTCGGCACTTTTGCAGTGGTTGCAGTGGTGACGGGTTTCATTCATAAATCTGTAGAGCTCCTCCTCTGATCTCTCTCTGCCCGTCTGTACGCTCCACTGCCCACATACACAGAGCAGCAGCACACCACAAACCCAGTGAACACATCCACGTACACACTGCAACACATCCACATGCATAAATGCACGCTTCGTTTCTGCAGTGCTTAGACTAAAGTGTTATACAAGCTCTTAAACACTTCAGCGAGCATTTTGTGTCCATGTCATAACTAATATTATTAGATTATTTATACTAATGTGTTGATCTGTTTATTGTTATAGACCATTTCAATGTGATCATGTCATTAGCCCATGATTATTTCCTGCTTGTTATTAAACTATTTCATAACTGTAACAAGAGACAATTCAATCATTACTTAATGTTAAAACAGCTCTCATAACATTATGAGATGAATATGTGTTTTTTTTTGTTTTGTTTTTTCCTCGGGAGCTAAAGAAGTTAAAAATCTAAAACGTGAAATATGCTGGGACCTTTGTTTTTGTTTGCATTATTTAAAATGGTCTATAAACTATATTTTGTTTTCAATTTATAATTTAGTTTTGTTTATTAAAAACTTACAGTTAGCTTTAGTTTATAGTTTACATTTTACGTTTCTTTTGCACCAAATTTACATTTCAGAATTATTTCTGAAAGACTACAGTAGTAAGTGACGTAAAAGTCTGCTTTGTCAAAACAGGAGTAAATTCTCATTTTTAGCTATATATAGATATATAGATATAAATAAATAAATAAATAAATAAATAAATAAATAAATAAATAAATAAATAAATAAATAAATAAATGTACATACATAGACACAAAGACTTTACTTTGGAAGGCCACCCATGTATATTGCCCATGTATATACGGTTGCCAAGTAGGCTATATTTAGTGACACATTTTTTTAACTGTAATTTTCACCCTTTTACACTTTTTTATCTACCCAATATAAAAAAACATCCCTGAGTGATTAAGTAGTGGAAAATCTTCTCTCCTTTACCCGTTTCATACTGCTCATTCTGTGTGAACTGTCAACACTAGGATTGGGTGATGTTGATCAATTTGGCATGTCTAATGGCACCGTCGTCGTAGTCAACAGTGTATTAATTAATTATGAAAAATGTTTAATTGATAACAAATTAATTATCTTTAGCAACTACCTGACCCGCATGGCCTTTGTTTTACCCATAACCAAATCATAAATAAATAAAGTTACACACAAATTACCAGCTGTCAATCACTTTTTTTGCGGGACTCTTGCATGAATAGGCAGAGTGACCTTGGTCATTATAATGGCGTCAACAAACTTGTTTGTTAAAATTACTAAGTACAAGTGAGAAAGCGAAAGAGTGAAGCAGTGTGCTGACGCTGTAACACATTACCTGATAGATTCAAAAGACCGAAGAGTTGTCAATATGTCAATATAAATATTCCGTTTAACAACTAAAGTGAGAGGAGTTCCAGTGGTACATCTTTGATAAACTGTCCAACGTGCACTGCACACTGATGTTTTATGCTCAAAGAATCAACTCAATGTCCTCGCTGCAGCCTGCAGATTGCTGACATAGGCGATTGTCAACTATGTAGCGGACCTTGTACCGCCCACTAAGGTAACACTTTTGCTACTGTGACGGTTGGGTTTAGGGTAGGGGGTGGTGTAGGTAATTGTCAACTACGTTTGGACCTACAACTACGTCATCAAGCTGCGGGCACAAGCAAGGCCTGTTTCTGCCTGGAGCTCAGACGTGCGCATATGCTGCAGCGCATGCCAGTGTGTCTGTGTGTGTAGGGTCATGTTATGTGTGTTTTCAGCGGTATAGTGTGGAAGGAGATCTATTCAGAAATGCCAGTGTGGACGTGGATAGTTTTCGTTCTAAAATGCCATTTTAAAACTAAAGCATATTACTGTAAACGGGGCCTAAGTATGTATTTTTTGCGACCGAGTTGCTGCTGCAACAGCTCAGCATCGTGATGTCTATCAGTCATCGGCAATGGGCGGTGGCAACGTCAATCAATCCAACCCTAGTCAACACTCCCACACACTGTCTGTTTCACGTGCTCTGCAGACCCATCGAGACCATCCAGGGTTTCTAAATCTACTAACATATGCGGGATTTGGTTCTACATTTGTTTTTTTAACTGTAAATTTTATGTGCACAGCCGCGAGGGAGTTGCATTTAAAAACTTTACTAAATTCTCTGAGAGGGCGAAATGACATCTAAATTGGCTGCAGAATATTTGTACACCATTAGAAGTGGGATTTATTCCCACAGATATTGTTTGGTTTTGTTCCTTTTGTCTGTCATTTATTTCTCATTTGCTGTATTTTTTATTAATTTGATGATGTCAATATATTACAAATCTTTTACGTGCACATGGCTCTTAAATAGCATAAAAGATAAATGGTGGATTTTATTTTACTTTAAATTATTGAAAAGAAAAAGTTTAAAACACAATTAAAAAAAAAAATTTTGTTAAAAATCAAATGACGTTTTGTTTGTCACATATAGCTAACTGTTCATGTGCTGTGGGTAAAAGGTGTGTTTCAATCCAGCTACCACTGTAAGTCAATTTCAAACCTGTGGGAAGCACTGCAGATGTTTTTACTAATAATAATGTTTCACGGTATTACTGTGTTTGATGTACGTTAGATAAAACATACAAACATACAGCATTTCTAAACAAAAGAGAAACATTTAACATATAACTAAAATATTTAATCTCTTTTATTTGCCACTCTCATGTGTCTCTCTTTGTTCTCTAAGCAGCCAAAGTCAGCCATCTCCCAGAGCTGGATGAAGAGATAGACATACTGTCCTCCATCATCAGCAAACACAGAGAATCTGAGATGAAGCACTCAGGTAAAACATGCAGATTCCACCACTGAAGAAAATAAATCCACATTTCTGTCACTCTTATTCTGTTTCAAACCTGCATGACTTACTTTTTCGGAACTGGTAAAAATAGGTACTCCTATGCTGTCACTGTGACTGACTGTAAACATGACTTTAAATAACACACTATTCCAGGTTGAAACCAGAGGATAGCCTCATGTAGAGTTCTTTTCAAGTGCTCTGATAATTTGCCGTTCAATACTTGTCTTCCATAAACAACTAAATCAGTATTTCTCGTTCAAACTGACAGTCTCTCACTCTTTTTTTTGTTGTTGTTCTTGTGTTCTTCAGCCCCATCTCCAGCTGCTTCTAAAGCCCCTGAGAATAAATCAGGGTCGAGCAGTCATTATAAAGCTCCTCCAACTGCTGCTACTTCCATTCAGCCTCCAACCAGAGGCCTGATTAGTTCCACCAGCCCGACCTCAAACACCCCATTCATCTCTGCGGTGCACAGTGCTCCCTTCATCATCCCGTACCCCTCTGAGGACCACTCCTTTATCAGTGAGTTACAGAAGATGTTTGAGTTTTTTGTCAATTAAGTATTTTTCTTTTCATTGAGTCTCATTATTTTTTCTATTTCAGTATTTTTAGGTGTGTTTCTCATGGTGGGATCAGTGGCCATGGTGTTGACTGGAGTCTGTTGGGTCAGGTGAGATTTCACATATCATAGCATATACCGTACACTAATTTTGAAGTCAAAAAATGTATATAAATTTTATACAACCAATTAACAAATCCTGAAAATATATGAGATGCATTTGTAAGAATATGGAGCAGCAGAAATGTTTGATAAAAATAAATGTTTTTCTATAAGGTTATGTTAAATGTAACTTTTAGGGCTGAGAGATAATGTTATTTATAAGATTATTACAGAGAACAACTGTCATAAAAAATAAAGGTTTAAAACAAGGGTCTCCAATCCTGGTCCTGGAGGGCCGGTGTCCCTACAGGGTTTAGCGCCATCTTGCCTCAACACACCTGCCTAAATGTTTCAAGTATACCTAGTAAGACCTTGATTAGCTTGTTCAGGTGTGTTTGATTAGGGTTGGAGCTAAAATTTGCAGGTCACTGGCCCTCTAGGAACAAGTTTGGTGACCACTAGTTTAAAATATACAGTAAGCAAAATATAAAATATATCAGTGCGACCAGCAGTGAGCCTTCAGATGAAATATAAAAAAATACATAGCAGCAAATGAAATTTATTATATACAGTTGAAGTCAGAATTATTAGCCCCCCTGTTTATTTTTTCCCAATTTCTGTTTTACCGAGAGAAGTTTTTTTTAACACATTTCTAAACATAATAGTTTGAATAACTCATTTCTAATAACTGATTTATTTTACCTCTGCGATGATGACAGTAAATAATACTTTACTAGATATTTTTCAAGACACTTCTATACAGCTTACAGTGACATTTAAGGCCTTAACTAGGTTAATTAGGTTAACTAGGCAGGTTAGGGTAATTAGGCAAGTTATTGTATAACAATGGTTTGTTCTGTAGACTATAGAAAAAAATATATAACTTAAAGGGGATAATAATTTTGTTCCAAAAATAGTTTTTAAAAAATGTAAAACTGCTTTTATTCTTGCCGAAATAAAACAAATAAGACTTTCTCCAGAAGAAAAAAATATTATCAGACACACTGTGAAAGGTTCTTTGGTCTGTTTAACATAATTTGTGAAATATTTAAAAAAGAAAAAAAATCAAAAGGGGGCTAATAATTCGGACTTCAACTGTATGTAACTTAGTTTACTTCAAGTGGCCACTATTTATATGTGGTATTGAACGTAAATGAGAGAACTCATTAACCATATGTTCACATGAAACACAACACTTATGTAACCATGAACCACGTGCTAACACCACACCAACAGAAGACTGAACTGAAGACACAAGAGCACGAGTGCATGTTCCATCCCATGACCAAACGAAACCGAAACCAACTAGACTGAGATACTGAGAATTAAACAGCACACTGCAGACAGAACAAACACAAACACCAGGATGAGAGTGTGCATCCCGAGCATGCCCAGACCCTGCATGTCTGCGTCAAGCGGGAGTGGCACGGCCTGAGCTCAGCAGAGACGGCTCTCGTACAAAGATGAATACAATGACAGAAAATGAGTACTTGGCCTGAGAATACTCGAGCCGAGCACAACATACTAGAAAAGACAGGACTAGTGTCTGGACTCTGCCACCAAAACAAGAATTAACAAGATCTAAGTGGCAGAATCCTGACAGACCAAGCTTTCTTTAGCTGATTTTAGATTAAATAAATACAGTCTTGTTAAGTATAGGAAACTTAAAAAACAAGCTAAATTTTGACATGTAAATGATCTCAAATGACACCTAAAAATACAAGGACTAGAAGCCAGAAAACCCCAATTTTATGTTTGTTTTTTAAGAGTAATCTTAAAAAATTGAAATTGATCAAATGCCTGCTTGAACAAATAGACACAAATGATACTGATGACATTTCATTTTTTTGCCAGGATGCAGAGAGGATGTCGCCTGGCCCAGAAAGTTGATTATCCTGCATTCGGGTTGATAGGTCCTAATTCTTATGATAGTGGTATGGTGAGTAAAGCATGCACATAACATACATAGCAAAGCGACTTGCAGACATGCTTATTTAATATGTTCACACATTTTTCTGTTACTCTATTAATAGAGTGGAGATAAAAAACTTGCCCAGAGTGCCCAGATGTACCACTTTCAGCTTCAAAAGCAGCAAATGATGTCGCTCAAGTGAGTAATCTGCACACAACATTAAAAACAAACTTCTTTCCAACTCAATTTCCTAATATAATACATTTCCCACCGGTCGTCAGCATCATTTTCTGTCTCAATAAGATAATTAGAGTTTAATAAATACAATTTTATTTTATTTAATACATGTGTGCTCATTATAAACCACAATAATATTACATATTATTCATGCCCTACATTCTTTTGAAAAAAAAACCCAAAAACGTAAGTTTAAAGGTTTATGAAACCCCCCTCTTTCGGTTCAAGTCTATCTCCAAATTTAAAAAATAAAAGCTCTGAGATGGGTGTGGAGCACTGAGAGCAGAGGGAGGAGTGGGCGTAGCCGGCAGAGCAGGGGAGAAAGAAGGGAGTGAGCAACTGTTGTCAGTTGACAAAATGTTACAAATTTTGAGGAGACCCATGATTTTACAGTTTACAAAGTTAAATTGCAAAGAGATACACAGTAAGTAATTTAATGCCCTGCAACATCTGTTATTCATAATTTCATATACACATAACCACAATTTGTTCTATTGTTATAAAGATAATTGTGTTCATATAAACACTATAAATGAGAAGGACTTCTCTCCTCCTCAATCTCTGGGTCTGAATGCAGACACAGTGGATAGCAGTGCTGCAGGTCTCTAGTCCTACTGTATCTATTCCAAACATTAGCCCTGACGCTAATCAGGAGGGTTATAAACATAGGTGAACACGGCAGCACAAAAAGGCGATGTGTCTGAATGGTAACAAACTCAACTGATAAAGGACAAAGTCTGTCATTCTCCAATTCTCATACAGCTCTCCTGACAAAAATGCTTGCTACAAACCAACAGCTTTGCTGTATCAGGCCTGACAGCACCACAGGGAAAAACATGCAACAAACTCTGTAAATCATGTAAACAAACAGCCGAGCACGCACGCGGTCTCACCCAACCATTGGGTCTCATAGCTTGGCAGGTCTGACCTGTCTTCAGTAAGCATGTTCTCTCTTGAATAAATAAGAAGCAGGGTCTTCTTACAGGATAAGCGACATTCTGCCTTTTATTTTTCCTAGTAATTTCTCACATGAGCAAATGAATCGCAAAATCAAGCACACTTCCACATTTTAGAATAAGGTCAATACTGTTTCATTAACCCAAATACATTACGCTTTACATAAAACATTTCTTATATAAAAACATTTTCATTCATTCAGATAAATTTCATTCATTCATGTTAAATTTGTCATGTTAAATCGTATTTTCGGACCAATAATAACAATAACAAAACAAAAAAAACACCTACTGTATTGCAGACAACGAAGTGATTCCAAGATTCCTGATTCAGGAGCCACTTCAGATGAGGAGAATGAAGATGGAGACTTCACTGTGTATGAATGCCCTGGACTTGCCCCAGTAAGAGCAATTCTTCATTATGCAAAGGCTCTGTTTACACCTATTATTAAGATGTGTTTTTGTCAATCAGGTGGATGATGCTAAATACAGTTGTAAAAGTGGTGTAAACTGTCTTGAGCTTGTAGTCAAAAACACATTGGGTCAGATTGCTTTTCGATTCTCGTGTGATTTAAATTTCATGCAAAGATTCTGCAGACTCATTTCAGCAATTCTGCATTTCCAAATACCACACATTTCCAAATGTCTATGTGCAGTGGATATTTACATTTACAAATGGGTATGTGCAGTGTAGTGCAGTGATTATGTGCTATATTAAGTGTGCAATATTAAACAATGCAATGAATATGGGAAGTGTAAGTTACAGGGAGAGATGAGGTGTGCAAAGGAGTCAGTGGATGGCAGAGTTTAATAGGGAGACAGCTTAAATTTAGATTTTTTGACAATTTTAAAGGTATACTTTGCTAGATTATACCAAATTACTGATTATTATTTGGATGAAATTGCAATTGCCATCCACATTTTAATGTGCTTGCATTTCTGCGCATATATAAGCTGCGTTACATGTGTAGCAATCAATCAGCATCACCCTAAGTGCTCTTGTTGAAGTGACATAAAGGCTTAATTAGCAGTGTTGCCAGATGTACAGTAGCTAACAGATTCTAGCTACCCAAAACTATTCTAGCAGATTCTAGCAGATGTAGCTAACAAAAGCTACCCAAAACCCGCCGAAATGCAAAAACAACCACCCATAAATCTGGAGGCTATCATAAGCGGTTATCATAAGCAGTCTGGGGCTGGGGGCATGCCGTTTCAAAACCACCCTAATTTTCTCTACCCGCCTATGTCATGGGAAACTGTCCAATCTGGCAACACTGTCAATGAGTCTCAAATAACATGACATGCAATCACAAAAGACAGAGTTAAACACCTGCTCATATCAGGTGGAAACAAGTTTTGTCTGCATTCATGCATGAGCGTGATCTCGCCTATTGCTGTGATCCATCACGCCTCCTGCAGGTGTAATCAATGATATTATATGCCACCCACAGTCCTACAGTGTTACCCATAGGGGTGTAGTGTTCAATTGTTCCGTTCTCTTTGCAGACGGGGGAAATGGAAGTGAAGAATCCACTCTTCGATGACTCCACCTTTCATCTTCACCTGCAAAGAAGTTATAACTAAACCCGAATACTCAGAGGACGCATTACTTCACGCACAAAAGCCGCATGAATCCACAATGGGGTGCTTTTCCTCATGCACTTGCATCATGGTGCGTATGGACATTTGAGAGTTTTGTTTTTTTAAACGCTGTTAAATACTAGATGACAGAGGTGTTACAGCTTCTATCCAGTAGCTGAAACAACACTTTGCAAACCCTGACAGAAATAATTCGCTTTAAAATATCGATTCACACGTACACAAGCATCCTTTCTGAAAACCAGCCTCTGTGGACCAGGACGCTGCGCTGTAGTAGCTTTCAGTTTAACTGCAGATGTGTAAAAACATTGCATGGATTTAAGAGTTGCACCCATCCTGTATAATCATGCACAGTTCGTGTTTCTTTTCTGGACCTGTTCGATAGTGATGTTCGCGATGTACGTAAAGGACTGGACGTTTGGATGATCTGTTGACAGCAGCTCAAGACTCATTCTTTATCAGGTTCTGTTATGACGTCTTCTGTAGTATATTGTGAATACTGTGCAATGGAAAAGGAAAATTATTTATAGAATCAATAGTTTGAACATATCTTGCCTGCAAACATTAGTCATATTACAGTAGGAAGATGAGAAGGAGTAAATTGTACGGTTAGCATATTTTAAGTTTTCTTCTACCAGATTCGTCTGTGACTGTATTTTTTAAAATACCAATGGTGATTTTAATATTTTTTTATAATTGTGCTCACAAGATTAACCCTAAATGGTATTATGTAGCCTCTGTATAATCAGAATGGTCCTACTATGCATGATTTGAAGCTGTGTAATAATGAAGAGAGTCAGTGTGCATTCCTGTTTCGTTTATGGAACCAAAACTCATATAAAACTGGAATTTTATTTGCAAACCCTGCATATAAAAGAGCTGATTTCCAGAATTATGGTGTGGTCACATTTAGTCTTGTTTGGCTCATTTTCATGAGCAAATCTATTTATTAATCAATGGCCATGTACACACTGTGGAGATTTATAAGTGACAACCACATTTAAATATGGGAGTGGATCGCCTAAATTATTGTTTCGGGTAACCATAGCAGGTGTAAACAGTCAGTTATTTTGGTATTGACTATTTTTGACCAAAGTACACAACAAAGACCTACAAAGTATATGAAAAAAACCATCGTTGATGAAGGAGTGGTGTTTTGTTTGCTTTTGAAGTCTGCTTTGCAGAAGTGAAGTGTTGCCAACTTCACATATTATTAATAATAATAATTCCCTACATGTATATAACACTTTTCTGGACACTCAAATCGCTTTACACATTGGGGGGAATCTCTTAATTCACCACCAGTGTGCAGCATCCATCTGGGTGGCACAACAGCAGCCATTTTGCACCAGAGCGCACACCACACACCAGCAGATTGGTGGAGAGGAGACAGTGTGATGAAGCCAATTTTGATATGGGGATAGTTAGGAGGCCATGGTGGACAGAGGCCAGTGGGCAAAATTGGCAAGGATGCTAGGGTTAAACCCCTTTTTTGGATTTTTAACGACCACAGTAAGTCAGGACCTTGGTTTAACGTCTTATCAGAAAGATGGCGCTCACTGATAGTATAGAGTCCCCTTCACTATACTGGGGTGTTAGGACCCACACAGACTGCAGTGCCCACTGCTGGCCTCACTAACACCACATCCGGCAGCAACCTAGCTTTCCCATGTGTTCTCCCATCCAGGTACTGACTGGGTGCAGCCCTGCTTATTACATATTAAAAGCAAGGCTTATTATGCATCTTTGAACTTAAGCAGTCCATTCATTCATTCATTTTCCTTTCGGCTTAGTCCCTTTATTAATCTGGGGTCACCACAGCGGAATGAACCGCCAACTCATCCAGGATATGTTTTACGCAGTGGATGCCCTTCCAGCTGCAACCCATCACTGCAAAACATCCATACACACTCATTCACACACACACAAACACATTACGGACAATTTAGCTGACCCAATTGAAGATTACATTTGGGTGTTGAATGTGGTTTTCACTCCAATGAGATACTGAACTGTTTGTGTACAGAGTCAAGTCTTTCGTAAAGGTGAACTGACAATCGAATTTATCTTCATTGTGTACGTGGCCATAAAGCATTCCATGTTATTTGGAGTTTTACATGACTTAAAAGATTCGCAACACGTTTGCCAAGCGAATAAAATAGGACTTTATTCAGTCTGCTAAATTAAAATTAATCTAAACATTTGATAATGTGACATTAACCACACTGTATATAGCTGCTGCTATTGTCTACAGGCCGGGATTCTCTGATCTGTGTGCAGTAACCTCTGTGTTGGATCATTAACAGTGATGTAGTTTGTTTCCGGAGCGCGTGTCGCTCGCTGCTGTTTCTCAGGAAATCTGCCAACAGTAGCCAATGACTGTGCAGCATTCCTGCTAGGGGATCCATTCAGGTTCCTCTGGATCTTGTACCTTCTAGTCAAAAACTGTGGCAGTGTCGTCAGTCTTTTGATGTTGCGTTGAGGCAAAACTAAGCCCCTAAAATGAAAAAGGTGGCTCCTCTAATAACTGTCTATTCTGTTAGACAGTCAATGTGTGGACGCTAACTCTGACATGACCTACAACTCTCAAATTAAATCACAGTGGTCTTTAGTTGAACCCACTAAACCTTTTTTAGCTACTGAGATTGCCTGACATGCATGTAAAGATGGAATATATAAAGAGGAAATAAATATTTATATCTGCTCAACCAAAAAGTGCCTGCTCTTTGTTGATTTCAAAATGTTTTTTATGTGTGTGAGGCTTACCTGCCAACATTTGTCACTGTTCGCGCGGGCCAAAAATCTGAGGACGGGGGACAAAATAATGACAAATTGAGTAATCACAATTTAAATTTAAACGTCATGACTGTCTTAATAAGGGTCCATATTAAAGGGTCTGTATTGGTACCTCAAAAGTATATATACCTACTAATTTTAAGAGGAACACTTTTGTACTTTTTATATACTAATATGTACCCTTGAGGTATTAACATGGACCTTTTAGGTACAAATTTGTATCTTTTGAAAAGGTATCACCCCAGTGACAGCTCGCTTACCTTTATTTCTGAGAGTGTATTGTGTGAATATGGTTAGTATAGAGATGCAATTTGCACTAATTATACATTTGCCATGTTTCGGACAAGATGAACTTCATTTGTAAATCCTACTATACCATTTAAAAATGTCCAACAAATGCAAGCTTAAGAGTCATGCTGGAAGTGGAAGGTCGTCCAGGTGTTTTTATTTTTGCTTGTTTTTTTGTTTTTTTTGCTTGAGTATTTCGAGAATACAACCCTCTGTGCTGGGAAACACTCACACACTATGGTCTATTTAGTTCATCTGACAGCAACAGTGCCAACTCTGCCACTGTACCACCCTTCATCATCATCATCATCATTATTATTGGGACATTCTACCGAAAAAGGAACATTTTCACTTATGTGTGACAGGGCCTGACCTTTAAGCTTGTCATCCTCAAAAAATACATGCAAAACCAAGCATAAAATCATACAATTCAATGATAGAATGCATCCTCGGTCGTCGTCAGTCTCTCCTCTTTCAAATGATGACACTTCCAAGTCATAGCCTTAAAGATGTATTGCATGAATTTGATGTGAATTTTAATGAAATTTAATGCAAAATTGACAGGACTGACAGATACATGGGGACAATTGTAAATATATTTGTATTAATTATTAGTGGTAAATATTAATAACGCAGTGGCGCAGTAGTTACTTACATTTTTTGAGAGGTGCACGACAGTGACGGCGACGGCCACGGCGAAGGGCTATGCGTCAGCGCCGTAGCATACGCCGGTGTTTGACGCAGAAGTATAAATCAGCCTTTACAGCAAAAAGGTTACTGGTTCGAGCCTCGGCTGGATCAGTTAACTTTTCTGTGTGGAGTTTGCATGTTCTCTCTGCATTCGCTTGGGTTTCCTCCAGGTGCTCCGGTTTCCCCCACAGTCCAAAGACATGTGGTACAGGTGAATTGGGTAAGCTAAATTGTACATAGTGAATGATTGTGTGTGGAGATGGGTTGTGGCTGGAAGGGCATCTGCTGTGTAAAACATATGCTGGATAAGTTGGCGGTTCATTCCGCTGTGGAGACCATGGATTAATGAATGACCTAGATGGAAAAAAAATGAATGAATGAATTAGTAGTTTTTATTTGTAAAATGTATTTATAATTGCATATTTTTAATTTGTGTGAATAACAACTTAAACTTGCTATTTCTTTTTTTTTTTTTTAAATAACAGTTTTTAGCATAACAAAAGTATTAAATCTGTAGCTTCAATTGAGCTGAGGACAAGAACAATGACAGGGTTTGTACAGTGTAAAGTGTTTTATTAAAGAACAAAAATCTGAGATCCATATGAATTGCATTTCCTTTACAGAACAACTCCCAGAAATCAATCATCAGTCCATTTTAGACATTTTTGGAATGAAATAATTTCTTTATTCACTGTATTTTAGTTTTTATTTCAGGGACAGATACTGTACGTTTCTGGTAGACTGTCGCCTATATCTCATGCAGATTACTAAATATGAGAAAACAAAAATTGTAGGGTAATTTATATTTTGCATATAAAAAGATATAATGTATAAAAAGGACAGAACCTCTGTATAAATCAAAATAGCATGAACAGTATAGGACTACAATATTTGCATAATTTTGATGTCAATGAAAATAAAATAGGCTTAATTTGAGGCAGTGAATGTAATGTTTAATTTAAATGTTCTGGCTGATTCAGAAAGTAATTCAATCAAGTATTTCTCAAATGTACTCAAACTTTTGGTAAAGGAATTCAAGATAAAAACTCAAAGTGAATAATGAATAAAATTATTAACTAACGTTTGCTTGTTCCTTATATTATTTCTCATATTTACAAATATTCCACTAAATTAAGGGAGACTGAACAAAAACATAATTAGGCCTACATTTTAGCGCAGTGAAAAGGGAAAATGTTTTTTTTTTTTTCTCTCTCTCTGGTAGACACTGGTGGACACTACACAGTAGATGGCGATAATACACCATAAACGTTTTTGTTACCCGCCATTAAAGCGAGGGAAAAGAAGGATGGAGTAGGCGGATGTTGTTCTTGCACGCCACACATGCGCATAAAACCAGCATCAAGGTGTTCAGCAGGTGTGGCAAAACGGCGAACGACAACGTAAGTAAACAAATTATACGTAATAAAACGCGACTATTATTGTGAAAATGATTTATTGTGAATAATAAGCACCTTTTGTGATCTACATGTGCTAGTTTTGCATCATTACGGACAGGTTGGATTAGCACTCATTGCTTGTTGTATTGCACATTACAAAAAACACTTTGTATACATGTTTTTTATGCATATTTGTTTTTGAGTGGAAAATAAAACCATTTCACTTTTTTCACGACGTGCAATAATTACTAAATAAAAAAACTCAATCAGGCTAGTGCTGGGGCCTCATTTATAAAACTTTTTGGAGAAACCTTCCTAAATTAGTATTTTCATCATTGTAATTTGACTACCTGATTCTGATTCACAAGCTCTCAACTAGTTTTGACTAAATTCCTGACCTGATTAGATTTAATGAATGTGGCACTTGTGAGAGGAGTTGGATATCTACTGCAGATTGCTGTGAGCCGTTCTTGCTTTCAACAGCAACCTTTCCCGTGGTTTCCTATCTTTTGAGGCACCAGAGTAGACAAAAGTCAAGTGAACACCGAGAGACTGAATGCACGCGAGAGAGAGCGAATGCGCATGCTAGAGACCGAGTACACGTGAGAGAGACCGAATGTGCACGCGCCTCATACTATCCAGGTAGGCGTAGCACTGCGTGGCCTCAGGAAGCAACCGGACTGCAGGGTGATAGCTGTGACAACTTTTGCACATCTCAACC